ATGTCCCCCAGTCCTTCTTTTCTCTAGACTAGCCAAAACCAAATTCTGCAACCATTCTTCATATGTTTTAGTCTCCAGCCTTTGATCATCTGAGTTGCTCTTTGCACTTTTTTTTCCAAAGTCTCAATGTAGTGTAACGTGGTGACCAAAATTGGATGCAGTTTTCCAGGTGTGGCCTTACTAAGGCTTTATAAAGCAGTACTGATCCTTCACATGATTTTGATTGTACGCCTCTATTTATACAACCAAGGATTGTATTAGCCTTTTTGGCTGCTGTACACACTGCTGGTTTATATTTAAGTGATTGTTCTACTAGGATTCCAAGTTCCCTCTCACAGTTATTATTTTTGAAAATCTTGGCAAGATTTTCAGAAGTGGTTTGCCCCTTTTGTAATATATTTTATTGACTTTTTAAAAAAGCATAAATCACTTTATTTGAGTTTTTCTCTTCCTTTCTTTTCTCTGCAAATAGCTTTAGAGTCCCAATTAAATAGATATTTGTAATCCAAATAGTTCAAAAAAGATTTTTTTCCTGAAATTTATAATTTTCTCTTTGTCTACAGCCCAGATTATTTTCTTTTTTTGTCACAGCTGTTCTTTGTTGTTTAAAACTTTGAAGGTCACAAGCACAGATTAGCTTTCCCAGGTTTTGCCAAGTCTTATATTAAAGTCATAGCTATCATAGTCTTCATCCACCACTAGGTGTCAACAACTATTTGTTTTTCAATTTCCAAAATGAACAATTATCTTTGAAATGAGAGTCTTAACCATTCAAACTATTTTAGATTTATCTAGATTTAAGTTTTAAATTTCAGGTTTTATATTTATTTCACTTCCATATATTTTGATCCTCCATAAAAAGATTAACTTGCTGCTTCCATTAGTATAAGGGTGGGGCAGAAATCCCCTTCCTTCCCTTTTGTAGGTATTTTATTTCTTGGGGATTAAATGTAGAATAGAAAAGAGAAGATTGAATTCCTCACCCAGTTTTAAGCACGCTGTTCACAGCTGTGCTGGTTAGTGCTTTTGGACTTCAGTTGCTAGTAGCTGGTCGATGCAATATGGCCAGCCTTTCTCCTGTTGGGTTAGAAGGCTTTCCCCAAGTCGAACGGAATGACTGCTGTCATTCCAGAATCGCTGGAGCACCCTCCTTTCTTCGTCACTTCTCTGGGGTGACTTCACCCCATTTAGGGTCCCCAGGCAGGGCAAAATTAGCCGCGGGGGTACAGAGAATCCGCAAGTCACGACAGGTCACTACCATGCAAAACTGGAAGTCTGGTTTGCCCCTTTTGATGACTGACAGAAAGTAACTGGCCCAAGGTCACCCAACTGGCTTCATGCCAATGGGCGGAATAAGAATTCATGATCTTCCAATGTCTAACTTGATGCCTTCACCACTTAACCACACTGGCTGTCTTCAGCTGGGTGGCAAAACTAATTTCCTGGACATTCAGCAAGAGAGAAGCAATATTACCTTCTATATAGTAGCTATCTTTGATACATGTTCATATGGTTTTCCATTTTCATATGGTTTATCTTAATGGTTTTCATTGACTTTACAGGATCATAATATTTAAGAAAGCAGGATTATTTCCACTATTTCACAAGGCTGAGCTGTACAAGAACATTAGATAGCAGCTTGGTATAATTTCTTTCCAGCTCATCTCATCTCTGTTTCTGAGTTAAGCTCTTAATACAGTATACACTCACTGGAGAGTGTTCCCATTAACATAGAGATACTTACTCCTCATTGAACATTCTTTGATTTGAGCTTAAAATATGATACTGAGGCAACAACTTTGTTTTTTCTGCACAATTTGGCACATTTTCAAACAAAGCTTTTGGGTTAAGCAACCACTATTTTCATCTTTTTTATTAATGCCTATAGGTCTACATGAGGGTTGAAGGCATTCCTTTAAATAAATATGATGCATTTTATTTTACATCATAGAGTAGTACCTTGGTGCGCAGCTGCTTTGAAACTCATCAAATTTGGTACTCAACTCTTTTTGACGCAAAACTTTTGTCCCAGTATTCATCGTTTGTTTGGTACTTGAGGCACAGGCTAGAACTTGTCAGTGTCAACTGCATTGTGACTCGCTACATTATTCCTTATGGGAAAAAAATGTTTGATACCCATCATTTTTGGTACTCATCATGCCTCCTGGAACCAATTAAAGATGAGCACTGAGATACCACTGTACTTGTTTTCATTTTAAAAAATTGAAATAACTAAAAAAGGTAAAATCCAAAAGAGCAGATAATCAGAATAGTTCCCAGGAGAACATGTTTATGAGAACATCCGTGTCCACAGACATGAGATTGCCCACCCTTATGCTTGCTTGTCATAGTGGGAAAAATATGAATCGAAATATATACATGCTGAAGTGCACTGATGGTATGATAGAGAAAAGAGCAGATTATCCAGTTTATGAACTAGGGAATTGCAAATTAGATGGTTTCCTGATGTTTACATATTTTGGAATACTGATCTCTTGTATGTGTTTACTTTGATAAATAGGACAGCAGTGTATGCCAAAGTCTAACAAAGGGCATTCTTATTCAATTTGTGTTAATTCAGCTTGACCCCCCAATACTGCATGCTGAGACATTTGATATGGATGCAGTTGATTCCGACATGCTTTTGTCCTGCTTTGCCAGTAACGATGCATCAATGAATGTGAAGACGCTTGTGCCTCTGAGGTTTGAGTGATGACACACACAGATGATTTGTGGCTTAGTAATGCAGAACAAACATTGATGCTGAGTTGTAGGAAATCCAATAGAGGATAACAAGGTGCAAATAAATAAATACTCAAGGGAGAACAAAGCATGGGGGAAATTAATAGAACAAATCCCATCCCAGTCTACAAATGTCACTCTTCAAATGAGAGAATAGAATCTCTTGAAGCAAGTGCACAGCAACATCTGTGGCCAATTGACTACCTTGCTTTTTGACTTGCTGTTAGAGTTTAGCTACTGTTCAATTAAGCTTGTGATACTTCTGTAAAGACAGAAGCATCTGGGCAAGCATGGAGATTGCAAACTGAAAAATTACTCAGAAGGGATCTCATCTGAGCTGCAATTGTTAAAATTACTGCTGGCAATAAGGAAAAAAAATCACTAAGTTGCTGTGTTTCAGAGATAGGGACAATTTCTCCCCATGGTATTATCTGGTTGACCATTATCTCATCTACATCTCTATTGCACCAGAATGTGCTCTCTCTCTCTCCCTTTCTCCCCTAAATGCTTTCAATATGACTAAATGTAAGAACACAAGATGATAGCAGTGAAGGCTTTTAGGTTTTAAGTAAAGATGCATTAAACAAGCCATATATCAAAAACTCTCTCTCTAAATTATGCCATATCAGCTTCCCCATAAAATGGTATTATGGATTTCAAGACAGGATACATGGGAGGACATGTGAGAAGATACTTTTCACCCCATAATGTCTGAACATCCACTGTTCTTAAAAAATGAAAGGCCTCAGTCCAAAACTTTCGGCAGATTCCACTACGTTTATTTCAGTGTAATCCTGTTTATATGAATTTTCATTATGATTTCATATTTGTTATTGTTAACAGCAGGAAACCAACAAGTAGTATTTCTATTATTTTTTTAAAAATAAATCACAATTAATAAAACTACATTATTTCATTATGCTTTATAACTAAATTTAATTTAAAAATAAATATATTGAAAAAGATGACAATATATATTATGCCAGGGAATCTGACATTTAAAATTGCTGGTTATCAGAATCTTTTCAGATAGCCATTGTCATTTTCAATAAATGGTTGTTACTTTTGGGTGATGGTAGTATTCAGATATTCTCCTTCAAGTAGTATATCTTCTACAAGAAAGTCATAACTTCTTATCTTTTAATTAAGCTCTTTGATTATCTGAAAGATGCAATTCTTATGCAAACAAATTTAATAAATTAATAAAAATAATAAAAGAATTACAGAAATGCTGGGAGATTAGTCTGATTTTGAAAATATATTAAATATAGCAGTACTAAATATCTGTGTTATTGAGAAACTGAAAATATATGTTCAGAATATATGAATAAATGGATAACAAATTTGAATATAGTCATTAGAGATGCAAGTCTGGGAATTTCAATGGGAGAAAAATATCAAGTTTACTCTGAACGTTATACTTAAGGAGAATTGGTATTATTCCAGCCTATTTCTTTACCCAAATTCTGAATATGCAACAAACAAGTCATATCATTCTTTCGGATGTATTGGTAGTAAAATCCAACAATACTGTCAGAAAAATTCATAATAAAAAGGAAGAAATTTTGAAAATTGTATTTCTATTACAATCTGAAATATTTTTATTCCATTTCACTAAACTATGTACTGTACCTTTTCAAATTATACTGAATTAGGATTGTATATGTTAATGGATGTGACAATTCTATATGAGCTTTTAGTGGAAAATATATTTTATTCCTTTTTCAAAAGAATGGCTAACTAAATTGCGGGAGTAGGTTTTGAATTTCAGAATTATTTCCTACTTCAAAAATAAAAATGTTGTAGAATTTAATTCTAATTAAAAAACCATCCTTGGACTACAATGTTATGTATGGGTTTATGTCACATCCACAAATGAGTTTTCTTATCCATTGAATTATCTTAATTTAATCTATAAATTCTAGTATTGACTTAATATGTTCCTTTTGGTTATTGCTTAGAGTTTTATCAATGATTTATACTGTGTTAAACAAGTAAATTTAGCTTAAAATTCAGTATGTTTCTATTTTGTTTAGAGAAAGAATATGAAACATTGTATAATATCCTACATCTTTAATGAAGTACTTGAACATACTAGTATTTTATGTACTTTAGATTTGTGGCTTATCCACTTGTACTATATTTCTATTCTTTCTTACATGTTTTATATACTTATTTATTCATATTCTTTTAAGTTATACTACTGCTACTACTAATTTGAGTTTTTCTCATTCATGCTTGAATCCAATCCTGTTTAGAATCTATTCAGAAGACAAACAACTTTACCTTCTCAACAAGGTTTAGAAGAACCAGCAAGAACATTGGAATTTTGATGTATGTTTGAACTTTTTTTTACTAATTTCTGGAACTGCAGAACAGCCCATTCACCAATAACATCATCAAAGCATTATTTGCACTTTTGAATTTTTAATTTAATTTAACTAATTAAATTTTAATACCCTCTACAATCATAATCCTATAGAGGTTTCCCATAACCACTTTTGGGATGGTAGACTAGAGTTGTGGAAGCTGGCTAAGCTGTGTATAGGGGCAGTTTTTCAGAATAAGTCCACATTACTGTAACGGATTCCTTGTTCTGAAGGACATTTTTTAAAACATATTTCATGCCGATTAAAAATTGTAAACAAAACTTTTTAAACTATGCATTTGGGTATTCATGTCTTCAGGAATAAACCCTCTGAGTTGCTATCCTCTTGAAGCAATGAAGCTTTCAAATGGATAGCTAAATAAATTCCAAAGTCCATTAAGCAGAGTAATTTACAGTGTTCTTAGGTTTTGCTCATGAAATTACATTAACACAGTTTTCTCTTTGGCTGGGGAAAAAAACTCCTCATTATCCTAAGCATAACAAATATGTTGGTAGGTGATAGTACAGAAATTGGACTGCTTAGATTTTTTTCCTAAAGAATGTATTCATTGTTCGTATTCTGTGCATTTATTCTGAAAGAAACATAGATCTTTGCAAATGTCACAAAATATTGAAAATCCTCTAAACAAAATGGCTGGAACTATTTTGCTTACTTGTCAAAAGTGGATTCATTGTAGATATGTTTTTGCAAATAGGGAAGGTTCATAATAAAGTGGTATTATTTAGGGAGTCTGTTAGAAGGAGAAACAATACAGAAAAAACAAACTGAATCTAGTTATTTTCCACCTACTCTTTAATAAGACACATTGTGTGCATATCTACTTATATATTTTCTTACATACATATATAGCCACACATTCTATGCACAAACAATATCTTTAGTTAAGGAAGCTAAATTAAATACATTGTGTCTATTTCTATCATTTAGCAAGCACATTTTATCACAACGAGTACACACTGGATTAGCATGTTCCCAAATAAATTGATTTAGTATTATGAATTCAGTAATAACAGGAAAGCCAAAAAATTGGAATAAATATATTAATCCCCAGAACACTAGTTTCATTTTAGTTCATTCATACATTTACAAAAGAGACCTGAGTTTTAGTGAAAATAAAATAATAAAATGATAATAAATAACAAATAATAATTTAATGAAAACAATACCACACCATAGTGATGTTCATGCTTTGAAAATAATGTGGAAAAAATGCTTAAAACCAAGTCTGATCATGTGTACAGTAGCTAAGATTAATCATTAGGGTTATCCATTTTTTCTAGACTTCTACAAGAGCCTGAAAAAGATGTGGCTGCTTTATAATCAATGGCTGCTGATTATATCCCACCTTTATTATTTTTATCAACAACTCAAGGCAACGAACATATTAGTATGCCTTCCTCCTGCTATTTGTCCCATACCAACAGCCCTGTGAGGGGAATTGACTGAGAGAGAGTGACTGTCCCAAAGTTACCCAGTCAACTTTCATGCTTATTATTATGATTGGTTGCACAGTCAGCCAACTGTTTAGAGTGGATTTCCTTCCCAAGGATCTGAGATAGAGAGATATTGCTTGATAGCGTTAAAGGTATCCTTGCAGGATGTAAACTGTTTCAAGTAAAGCTTCCCTTTGCAATTGAATGATAGTGATTTTGTCAGTGCCAATAGTATTCAAATGGTGCATCAGATGTTTCAGAATTGCACCCAAGGCACATGTTACATTTGGTTTGTTTTCTTTTGTAATAGTTATTCTAATTCTATTTGTAGGTCTTTGTATTTTGTGATTTTCTTCAGTTCTCTTTCTTCTATTCTTCTGTCTCCAGGTACTACCATGTTCACTATCCAGATTTTTTTGTCTTTGTAACTGACAATTTGTTCAGTCAGAGGTTTTATGTGGCAGGTGCCTGTTTGTTTGAATTCTAAAGTGCCAGAGTACTTTAGCATCTTCATTTTCTATTACTTTATCTATTTTATGGCTTTGCAAATGTTGTTTCTTGCAGATATTCCAATGCACTGCTGTTGCTACTTTTATCATGCTGTTGTTTATAGTCAGTCTGTGCAATCTTTAGATTCTTTATAGAGGTAATATTTGCTGTCTGTTGCCGTCTTTTCAATTCTGACTTTGTCTGCATTTGTTCTTAAAGCTTGGTCTTGTGCAGCCAGAATTAGCCCCTCTGTCTCTTTTTTCAACTTTCTTGCTCCTAGCCATTGCCAGGTCTTGTTATTATCTGCTTTACCTGTTGTCTTTTTTTTAATGTACTGGCCATGTGATACTTTGCATTGCTATGTCTCTTTTCTATTCTTTTGTTGGCTTTTCTTATATGTCAGTTTGGTTTCTCCAAAGACTTCATGGTGTACTAGCTTCAGTGCATCTCCTTTACTTCGTGTATTCCTTCCAATATTATTATTACCATTTTATTTTTACGATTGCTTCAAAGCATTGTTAATGCACCTCTTTAAAAAAATGCACCTTTGGCCAATACTGAAAAGAGTTGTAGTTGGTTCAATAAATGGCAGCAGGAATAGTATTTGTACAAGATCAGAAGTATCTACAAGTATTTATCACAAGATGCCTATGCAACAGGCAAAGGAGAGAAAGGAAGAAAAGAAGGTACAAGTTCTACTATATGACAAACCCTGCCATAATAGGACAAAAGACAAATGATGCAATACAAAGATCGTTTGGAGGTGGGAGAAACCTATGATGTAATCTACTGGATTCCCTGCATGGATTGCTCCTGTGATCATGTAAGACAGATGGGGAGCAAGCTAACTACCAGATTGTGAGAATACAAGTGAGCAGTTAGATGAGGAGATCCAAACTCATTGCACACTGCAATGAAAAAGGACATGCATTCAATTTCACAACTACTATGATTGTTGGCTGAACAGAGACAAAAACAGCCAGAGAAATGGTTGAAGCCTGAGAAATGGGCCCCTTGTCAGTCAAACAGGAGTGCTGATTTATCACCAGCTTCTCAGGTACTTATGAGTTGAAGGCACAGAGGCACAAGGAAACAACAACTTAATAGTCAGTCATCAACACCCTAATCAACAACTAAAAACTACACACAACTAGGCACCATATAAATATACCCTGCAGTGTACATATTGTGGAGAGAGAGAATGATGCCCCTGATGATGGGATCCAGGATAAGCCCAAAACTTTGGAAGAATAAACTTTTGGTCTCGATGACTGACTCAGATTGGATCCTGCAACATTATCCTAGGGCATATATATTTGCCTTCATTTGCAAGATCAGTAGAGCTTCTTTGAAATTATTTTCAAAGAATGTGCAATTCTACAGCACTCATTTTTTCCCCTACACCGTTACTGAAGGAGGATTTTTAGATAGTTATTAAAATGTGTAAAATTACAAATAAAATATATTGTGTAACACAGAATATTATTAAGATTGTAAACTGTGAAAGGGAAAAAGTGAAAAAAGTTACCTTCTGCTAAGACATATTTTCCTTGCGACTGAAGCTAACTGTGAGCAACTTGTCAACATTCAGTGAAGCTGTAACTGATGTGACTAAAATTCTGCTTATAGCAAGTTATTTCAAATTGGATTATAGCAAGTTTACAGCTGAACTAGATATTCATACATAGGAAGGGTGATTAAAAAGCCTCAGGAGCTACACAGAGAAATACATGATTCTATTTTTTAAAGAAGTGTGCCAGTTTCTCTTTTATTTCTGTGCATAGTTCAGTATGCTGGGGAATGACCTTGAAATAGTTTACAAGCAGAATATTTGATGGAAGATTTTTTTCCTGGATGAACCCTATAATTTGTTAAACATTGGAGTCCTTGTCATTGTCCCAAATCACTAAGATTCCTTTGGTTGAAACTAAAGAGTCCCTCTCTGCATGAGCATATTTGTGGTTAGCATTTTCAAGGAAAATCTCATGCTTTGTCACTAACAGCATTGATGTTGATGAAAATTGATGAAAAAATTCCTTTTCTTTAAAAAAATCGAGGCTTTAGGGCAGGGGTGTCAAACTGGTGGCCCGGGGGCTGGATGCATCAGGCAGAAGCCACGCCTACCCCATTGCTAGCAATGGCAAAACTGTCCCGATACATTGCGCGACATCACGTGATACCGTAAGTTTGACATGTCTGCTTTAGGGTATTTAGCTTGTCTGGTGATTTCAGTATTATTGCTGTTAAGTGTTTTTCAATTGCTGCATCCTACTTTATATTTGTGCCTTTTAGGAGACTGGTTTTATTATTTGTGAGCCATCTAGAATTCTAGAATGTAGGAAGGAGACAAATGCTTCAAATAAACTCAATATTAATTAATCATATTTCATGGAGGACTACACATTTTGAAGGTTTTTAAAATTTATTTCTATTTATATTATGATGATCACAAAGGATTTTGTCAAATGTATTTCTCCCACTCCAATGAAATGATACCTATTTCATTCAAGTTAGCAAAATATGGGTAAAGTTCAAGAAACATGCTTATTTGTCTGCTTATTTAGAATTAAACAAAATTTCCTGTGAATCCTATATCTAAAATGCCTGTCTATTTTAAAATGACCAGAAATAAAACATTGTTATAGTCCTAATAATGAATCGTATTTCAACCAGCTAATGCTGACTTAATAGAAATTATGCTAATGTAAGCTCAGGTGACCTAACAACTAAAGACTGGGGCATTTCAGAATTTAACAGCTTTAATGGAAAAAGAGGGGAAGGATAGTAGAGTTCAGTGCTTCAAATATGAAATTACTTATGTAGCTATATTAATGATTGAATGAATTTATGAGAGGTTATCTGGTTCACATTTCAGGACTCTATTCTATGTATTTGAGTGCTTTATAAGAGGGTTTTTCTTTTTCTTTTGGTCTGAGAAACTTTTACATTTCTGTCGGCTCTAGTGATTTTGCCATATGTGTTGGTTTGTTTGTCTTACAGCTTGCAACTCATTAGGAGTATGGTGCTCTTACGCTTACATTACAAGGTGAAAGCTTGAAGTAGACTCTCACTGAAGCAGGAATGAAGTTCTGGCAACTCTTCATTGTAGTTGTCCTATTGCAGCTGCTTCCGGAGATATGGCATAGATAGCACATT